ACTCTAGCAATGTTTTGGTTGTTATCAAACAAGTGTATTTGCACAAACAAATCTCATTCACTTCAGCTTCATCATTACAGTCGACTGGACCTAGGAAAGGGTTTAATAAATGCACATATGAGACCAATAATCGAATTATAAACAATACTGATTCTGACTGTTGCAATAAATAAATAAAAAACAAGAGACTTCTGATAGACATTTAGAGACTTCTGACAAGACATTTAGAGACTTCTGACAAGACTTTTAGAGACTTCTGACAAAACATTTAGAGACTTCTGACAAGACTTTTAGAGACTTCTGACAAGACTTTTAGAGACTTCTGACAAAACATTTAGAGACTTCTGACAAGACTTTTAGAGACTTCTGACAAAACATTTAGAGACTTATGACAAGACTTTTAGAGACTTCTGACAAGACTTTTAGAGACTTCTGACAAGACATTTAGAGACTTCTGACAAAACATTTAGAGACTTCTGACAAGACTTTTAGAGACTTCTGATAGACATTTAGAGACTTCTGACAAGACTTTTAGAGACTTCTGATAGACATTTAGAGACTTCTGACAAGACTTTTTTAGAGACTTCTGACAAGACATTTAGAGACTTCTGACAAAACATTTAGAGACTTCTGACAAGACTTTTAGAGACTTCTGACAAGACATTTAGAGACTTCTGACAAGACATTTAGAGACTTCTGACAAGACATTTAGAGACTTCTGACAAGACATTTAGAGACTTCTGACAAAACATTTAGAGACTTCTGACAAGACTTTTAGAGACTTCTGACAAGACTTTTGGAGACTTCTGACAAAACATTTAGAGACTTCTGACAAGACTTTTAGAGACTTCTGACAAGACTTTTAGATCTGAGAGTGTTTTTGCCCCTGTTGTTGAATTTGTTTATAAAAACTCCAGTCTTATTCATGTTATTTATATACTTTGCCTATGTCTAGTCAGGCATTCTTTAGACCGATTAGGCAATGTGTATGATGTATTATGTATTTCAAATTTTGACTAGAATCATCACGCATTCTATTTATGGAATCCCTGGATTACATTTAGACTGTAAAATATATATCTCAGCATATTGTCTCTCGTTATTTTGGATGCTGGTCAAGGTCAAGGCTAACGTAACGGCTATAATGTCGCTATAATTTGTATTCGACCAGTTTCATAGTTTGACTAAGTGAAAGGGTGTGGTCTACAGAAAAATCTTAGATGCGCATGATTTTAACTTCCTCGTGTATGGTCCGTTGTTCTGTTATTTGACTTAGACTTAACAAAATAACGTCACAGAATGTAAACAGTGAGATTTTGAGATTTTGTTCAAGTTCATGCTGATTACTCATGGTAAAACTCCACACTACAAAAATTTTTAGTGTTCCGACTTCACAACACTTTTGGTGAACAAGATACAGATTATTTGCCAGGAGACAACAAAATGTAGCAAATTCTACGTCATACATGAGATGTCGTCCTAGGTCAGCATGTGGTAGAGGCGTGTCATGGGCGTACCATCCCTTCATCACCCCACCCCTTCCCTACCACACCCCTCCCTCGCCACATTCCTTCCTCCACCACACCCCATTCCGTAACCACACCACTTTCCCTAACCACACCCCTTCCCCCACCGCACACCGTCCCCACTACCCCCCCTCACCATCGTAATACGACACTACCAAAGTGATGTGTTGTTTTACTCTGTCCTCTTAGTTTCTCCTTTCCGAGAAAGGCCCAATGTTTTCTAGATCAATGGATTAAAGATGGCGTTTTCTCGGCTTAGCAATCTCAAGTTCCTACTTTAGCTGACCCGAGATATCGGTTTACTGTTGTCTGTGTTATTGAAGTAGTCCCCGTGACCCGAGATATCGGTTTACTGTTGTCTGTGTTATTGAAGTAGTCCCCATGACCCGAGATATCGGTTTACTGTTGTCTGTGTTATTGAAGGAGTCCCCGGTACCCGGTGACAAGTCCCAGATGTCTTGTTTCTTCATTTCGCTTCATCATTTACCCATTTTGTCTTGTTTTTTTGTTTCGGTTTTTTTACAGGCTCTGTATTTTTAAAAAAAGAAACGGAAAAACCTACGGCATCTAATTCTCTGACTCGCTCGCAAATCTCTTTATTATTTGTGGTATGTCTTTTAAGAATATTGTTTTCTTTTCATAACAATTTGAAAAACTTTCTTTTAATTTTCTTTGGTAACAAAAATCTTTCTATACCGGATTGAAAGTCGCGAGGTCTGCTGGTGTCAGCGGTTAATCGTCTACTTTAAGATGTGTTAAATGTGCATTTCCTGTCTCTTCAGTTGGTTGTCATGGCGACATGTGTACTTCATGGAAAATGTGTAACATTGTAGCCAAAAGCTTAATCCCCTCTATCTCTCTCTCTCCTCTCTCTCTCTCTCTCTCTCTCTCTCTCTCTATCGTTCTCCATCTGTCTTCCTCCCTCTCTCTCTTTGACACACCAACACCCCTTCACCCACTCAATGACTCTATTTATTTCTCTCTCTTTCCATCTCTTTTTCCTCCTTTTCTGACTCTTACTATCGCTTTAATTCTCCCTCTCTCTCACTCTCTTCCGCTCTTTTTCTATATCTCTCACCTTTTTCTCTCTTTTCTCTTATTCTCTTTTTCTTTCTTTTTTCTCTGTTTTTCTCTCTTTTCACTCCTTCTCTTGTCCCTCTCACTCTCTTTCTCCCTCTCTTTCTCTCTCTTCTCTCTCATTTTTTTCAATCATTTTGTTTTGCTCTCTCTCTCCCTATTTCTTACTCTCTCTCTCTTTCTCTTTTTCACTTTCTCTTTCCCTCTTACTAGCTCTATTTCTAACTCTCTCTTTCTATTGTTCTTTCTCTTTTTCTGTCTCTCTCTCTATATATATATATCTTTCTTTTTTTTCTTCTCTTTTTTCCATATCTCTTTCTCTCCTTCTCTTTCTCCCCCTTTCTCTCCCTCTCTTTCTCTCCCTCTCTTTCTCACTCGCTTGCTGTCCTAGTTTCTCATTCTTATTCTAACTACCCCCCTCCCCGGGTCTCTATCTCTATTTCTCTAATCCTGCCATCTCTTGGCGTCTCGCTGTATCTCTCTTTCTCCAAGCAACGCTCTATTGTGTGTGTGTGTGCGTTCTATTCCACTAAGCTGACCCTAACATCAGCCCATAGACAGCAATGAACGGTGACTTTCACAAAGTATCGTTGGATGACAAGAGTGCTCTCCACTTGAAATACTTACCGACAGGAAGAGTGCTCAACAAAAACAAACTCACAACACGATGAGGAGATAATCCAGTTGTCTTATAAGCTAACAATAGGAGGCGTTGTGTCCTCATGAGAGACCTACTTACACAGTTGAACTTTGAGAATGTTATCGAAGCGTTTCCCAAACATTTGAGTGTGGCGGACAGCTGGACATGTTTCGAACTTGCACCAGGGTCCGGCAGGAACCGGGGACAGATTTATTAATTATATTTTCTTGTTATTTGACCTTAACTAATAATAAATTAACTATTCATATTGTGTTGGCCCGCAACGTGGGGGCTCGCGGACTGGTGACGTAGGGCTCGCTGACTGGTGATGTGAGGCTCGCAGACTGGTAATGTGAGGCTAGTGGACTGGTGATGTGAGGCTAGTGGACTGGTGATGTGAGGCTAGTGGACTGGTGATGTGAGGCTAGTGGACTGGTGATGTGAGGCTAGTGGACTGGTGATGTGAGGCTAGTGGACTGGTGATGTGAGGCTTGTGGACTGGTGACGTGAGGCTCGTGGACTGTTGACGTGAGGCTCGTGGACTGGTGAAGTGAGGCTTGTGGACTGGGGACGTGAGGCTCGTGGACTGTTGACGTGAGGCTTGTGGACTGGTGACGTGAGGCTTGTGGACTGGTGACGTGAGGCTCGTGGACTGGTGACGTGAGGCTTGTGGACTGGTGATGTGAGGCTAGTGGACTGGTGACGTGAGGCTCGTGGACTGGTGACGTGAGGCTTGTGGACTGGTGACGTGAGGCTTGTGGACTGGTGACGTGAGGCTTGTGGACTGGTGACGTGAGGCTCGTGGACTGTTGACGTGAGGCTTGTGGACTGGTGACGTAAGGCTTGTGGACTGGTTACGTGAGGCTTGTGGACTGGTGATGTGAGGCTCGTTGACTGGGGACGTGAGGCTCGTTGACCGGTGACGTGAGGCTTGTGGAGTGGTGATGTGAGGCTCGTGGACTTGTGACGTGACAAATAATCAAAAGGTAAAGAATCGACTTGCCTGAGGGAAAAGAACACCTTTTTAGCTTTGGACAATTCAGAGATATGCTTATGATCAGTGTGGAAGAAAAGTTCCCCTCACCCCAAATCTCATAAAGAACTTAAAAAGTTCAACCTAAATAGTTCAACATAAAAAGTTCAAACTTTGCAATTATAAAAATGTATTTACACCGTCTCCCCCAGAGTTTATGCAAGGCACATAACTCTACAGAAAAAATACTTTAATCACGGTTGGCTCCCTTTGCTTAGTAGCAGTTATATAATGATGTCCAGTGTGTCATTTTGAATTCCCCCATCTTGTGCGGCCCTTTCTAAAACGAAATTCAATTGTCATTGTGTTGGTTTTACTAAGTCTACATGCCGTTTGGCCTTTAACAAAGTGACTCTTTAAATGACCCACATATATTCAAACAAGCACTCATGGAAACAGTTTCAATATTTTGAATATGATCCCTTGATGATTTGCGTCTCTTGCACAGGATCCTGGTATAAATCATCTTCACTGTGGAAACAATGTCATTATAGTATGTTATAAGGCCTTGACTTTTTAGCATGACTTACTGGCACCAAGACCTTGTTTCAAAGTGTTCAGTCACCATGAGTTTGAGGGAATGTTTTCAGTCACTGTGACTTTTTGGCAAAGATGTCGGCTAACATGATTTTGAACTGCTTTTTGTTAGTCTTTTGTTACTATGACTTCTTAATATTTGTTTCTTATGAACTAAATTTCCTCGTTCCATCTTCAGAGACCCAGTCCAGACACACACGGGTGAACACGACCAGTGAGTTCAGCTAGCCAACATGACCACGCCAATCATCAACATGACCACGCCCCCTCTGGCCAACAAAACCATGGTGGAAGGGGCGTTGTTCACCTGGCATGGGACGGAACTCATTTTGCTTCCTCTGATCATGCTGATGGGCACCCTGGGCAACCTTCTCGTTTTCTACATCTATCACTTCCGTTGGCACAGCAACACGGTGACGCTGTTTAAAAGGGTGAGTACATCTATCACTTTCGTTGGGACAGAAACACGGCCACAGTGTTTAAAAGGGTGAGTACATCTATCACTTCCTTTGGGACTGAAACACGGCTACAGTGTTTAAAAGGGTGAGTACATCTATCACTTTCGTTGGGACAGAAACACGGCCACAGTGTTTAAAAGGGTGAGTACATCTATCACTTCCTTTGGGACTGAAACACGGCTACAGTGTTTAAAAGGGTGAGTACATCTATCACTTTCGTTGGGACAGAAACACGGCCACAGTGTTTAAAAGGGTGAGTACATCTATCACTTCCGTTTGGGACTGAAACACGGCTACAGTGTTTAAAAGGGTGAGTACATCTATCACTTCTGATGGCACAGCAAGACGGCTACAATGTTTAAAAGGGTGAGTACATCTATCACTTCCATTGGCACAGCAACACGGCTACAGTGTTTAAAATGGTGAGTGCCTCTATTGAACATATAACTAATAAAAGAACGATTTAAAGTCTTTAGCTGCAGCACTAGATAGCGGAAATACATACGGAACAATACAAATTGTACGTTCAGAGTGTTGCACAAAAGAAAGTGAAGATAAACACACACAAAAATGAAGAAAAAGTTTTGAAAATACAAAAATCATACAGACATCCATAAAAACCAATCCCTATTAAACAAAGTTTTTTCGTATAAATCCTTCGTATGAATTTGACTAGCATTTATGTATTTGTATGTGATTTATCATTTATTAAGAAGCGGTTACGTCAATGGGTCAACTAATGGTGAAGACCCTTTTTATATCTCTTTCATTTTCCCCTTCAAAAACACAATTAATTTTGTTGCAATGGCTTTTACTTGTAATGGGTGTTAAACTATATTATGATAATAAGGGGGAGAGACTGCAACTAGGTAAACAAAAAAAAAAAAAGAAAATGAATGAAACAAAGTATAGTAAAACTTAAAAGGAACGCAACAAAACAGCGAACGTGTCAGCAGGAAGCCTTCAACGACGAAAAAACAACAATAAAAACAAGAATTAAATAAGAGCCAGAATGATCAATATATTGATCTTAGGCCCTCAAAATACAGAAGAGGAAAAAAATAATAGCACTTAGCTGAAAAGTCGTATCCGAGGGGAGGCAAAAGAATCCACAATTCTTTTATTCATTCCGAAACATAAGATTGACGAACTCTGACTTAAATTCCAGGCCATTAATTATGAAATTTGTAATATCATAATGTAATTATATATCTGTATATTAAATGTACTCACTTACGGGCACATTGCCGTCACCATGCAGATGCTTGCCGTCCTTGATCTTGCCAACCTGCTGCTGGCCTTGCCGTCACTGATGACCATCACGCTGAACGCCAAGAGCAGCAGTTTCATGGTCCATTGCATCTTAACTTCGTTTGTTGCCCTCAGCTCGGCCATTGCTTCCGCCTGCGTGCTGGTCATCATAGCAGCGGACAGGTCAGTTGTGTTCCATCTGAATTATTATATCGATGAAAAAAATTATTGTTTCAAACAGGAATTTAAAAAAAAACATTTGAAGTACTTGGACTTGTTGGTTTCAAAGTAAACAAATGACAGCGCTCTGATCAGGCTCTGAAAAAAATGATTTATTTCTTTTAAGTCAACGCTACAAATGGTATTGAGATTCATGATTAATCTTTCATTATGACTTTCCAAAATTTCTGTATAATCGTTACAAATTTGTTTGTAGAAAAGTTTGTTTTGCCTACTAAGAAAATTTTAATCTGAATGTGATAAAAAAGGACTTTGTCTATGTTTTATCATGAATATCGAAATTTTTGTGTCGTATATTGCTTGTGTTTCTTCTATGGCTTTATACATGTCATAGAGTACATTGAACTTAATGTACATAACGTCTACCTGCAGGTTCATGAAGTTGTGCCTCCTGAGGAAAAAAGGAGTCGGGATCCTTCTGGCCAAGAAGCTCTTCGCCACCAGCGTGATCGTGTCGTGCATCTTGAACATCCCCAGCGTTTGGATCTTCGGGAAAGACAACGTGGAGTTCTTCAACTACAACGTGGGGGTGACCTACTGCTTCATCCAGACGGAGAGCAAGCAGGGTGCTCTCTTCATCGCCTACGTCACCATGCTGGGACTCGTGTTCATCACTGTGAGCAACGTCCTGGTCGTCCTCTACTACAAAATCATCAGGACGCTGATTGCACTCTCCAACAAGCACGAGGAGCTCAAACGTCGGCCGTCTCTGGCAGGGGGCCTGGAGGTCATCAAGAAGCAGAAGCAGAGCGAGGTCATGCGAAAATCGGCGATCGTTTTCATCGTCATCACGGTGGTGTTTTTCGCGAGTTACGCCCCTTACTTTGTCACTATGATCATTTCCATGACGGACCACTCGGTAGAGGGCAGTATGGGCCCCGCCCTCAAAGCCCTTTACGACTTGGCCAAGTTGAGTCCGCTGGCCAACAACGTGGCCAACCCGTTTATTTACAGCTTCACTTCAGATCATTTCCGGAAGGAGGTCAAGGACATTTTCACCTTCAAAACGTGCAAAAAGGACTTTTTCAGACGCCGTGCCTTCTCTCTCTCCAGGAGCGATAGGTCACGTGAGCTGTCTACGATCTCTGATTCACGAGAAGATTCTTAATGGCACCGGTACTGTGACACTAAGGAGCTATACAGATAGGGCTCTCTTACAGCTCCCGTTTCGTGATAGCTTCATTACAACTGAGTGTTTGGAATCGATCAACACAGTAAACCGATTCAGACATTTATCGTGTCCTGTGTCTTTCAAATGTGTTCTGGGAGGACACGTTTCCATGAGTCGAACCCTACTATTTGTAGCATTTGATAGGAGGACACGTTTCCATGAGTCGAACCCTACTATTTGTAGCATTTGATAGGAGGACGCGTTTCCATGAGTCGAACCCTACTATTTGTAGCATTTGATAGGAGGACACGTTTGCATGAGTCGAACCCTACTATTTGTAGCATTTGATACATAGTTTTTTTGGGATCCTCATCTTTATGCGTGGATTTTAGAACACAAAACAAGACAATCATACGTTACCAGTTGTTAAAAGAAAGTTAAAGAGCAAATTTATTTTTATGGAGTTTTGAATGAATCTATAGTAGCGTCTTCAAGTAGATGCAGTGCTGGGCATGTGTGTTCTGAAAAATAATGGTATTGCCTTGGGTTAATGGCCAGGGAGACAAGGAGGTCCTAGCTTCCTTTTTTTTTTTTTTTTTTTTTTGTTTTTTTTTTTTTTTTTTTGTTTACTCCACTGTGCCGGATGACCACTGGACGGCAAGGGATTGTGGGCTGTCAATCCGTCATTTGCATACTTTTTTAGACTTGACTACACCATATGTTGTAGACATTTGAGTCTTGTCTTTGTTTTACAGACTGTAATCACCCTCGTTTGGAGGTCCAGGTACAATGATGTGGATTAATTAACCAAAGCTATATCTTGAACTTTGACCCGAGAAGATTTTAAAACAATGCATATTACATCCAAAAATAAACTCAATGACAACAGAAATATTTCATGAATGACACGGTCTCTACTAATCCAATGTCTGTACAGTGTAAGGCATGCCGTTTATAACTTTTCTAATGGGTTTACAGACAATGGGTTTTATGACATGGCCTCCAGCCTCATCAAAATGGTTATCACAGCAAAGAGGGATGCCCATCTTCCTATTTCTTTGGTTTGCAATTTAGGATGCTTTTCTATATTCATAAGCGATCACATATTCTGTTCTATGCTAAACTCTTCAAATGGCTTGTCTGAATGTCAGCTCGATAAACGCAACATCCATGCTACTTGCTGATTTTTAAGAATTTAAATTATGTATATTTATAGTGTCATTATTGCTTTTCTTCAAATAGCTTCGCTTAACAATGTGTTATATGACCTAGAGATGACCTAGAGATGACCTAGAGATGACCTAGAGATGACCTAGAGATGGTTACAGATTTACATTAGTCTCAGGAGGTTTATTTTTTACCTGAAAAATATTTTTTTTATGATAAAGATTATTCTGCACCTGATGACATACCGACTGGAAGATCTTCATTTCGTTATGTCATTTAGACCACTTCTTTAGAGCTCTTTGACTGATTACATTTTTTAAAAAAAGGGGGCGGTTGCTAAATAAATACCTTTGGTTGTTGTCTAAAAGGCACTAGCGATATGTTTTCACATGAAAGTGCTACTTTAGAATTGACATCATCAGAACTAGGTGTAATGATTCAGTCAGGTCCAGATGTTAAGGGCCGCCCATATAAAAAGTCACGCTATTTTTGGACAATCAATTTTGTACCCCCCCCCCTTTTACCGTGTGCAAACTGTCCCATTTTTTTAGACCCCCTTCTCTTCTCAGGAGCGTGACGTACCTTATGGGCGACCCTTTATTGGGGGCGCCTACTACCTTGCAATGCTGCTTATGTTCTTTTTATTCTAGCAATCACGTCTTTTATTATTGTTCAACTACAAGGATTTGTCTTAGAAATAAATAATTTTTCAGACACAGTATAGTGATAGCTTCCCAAACACTCTCTGATCTTTGCTGGTAGTTTCAACTATGGCTTTCAGTCTTGTTGGTTTTTTCTTGTTGTTGTTTTTAAACAATAATCGTGATTCTATATAAGAGTTATCACAATGAGATCAATCTGAATATGACGGCCATGTCGATGTGTGTAATTGTGTTTGTGGCGTTGTGTAATTGTGTGGGTGTATGCGAAAACTAAAACATTCAAGCTGTTGGTTAAATTGCGTTAAACATGCTACAACAGACATATCAACATAGGAAACTGTAGCATAATATGATGTTAGAAAGAAAATGAAATTCTTTCCATTGTAGTGATATTCGCAACAACAACAAAATTCAGCGCCATCCTCAAATGAAAACGATCGTTCATCTATTTACGTGCAGACAGATTAAGTTAAAAAGATGATATTTTTTACATTAACCCTCTGGAGACGGAGCCTTTTCGGGGTGTATGTGCCAAAAAGACGGAGCAATTTTTACGAGCTCGAGACTCGCATTGCAAAAAAATTTATAAAAAATAAACTATTCCCTTAATATATGTAAAACTATATATATTCTTGTAGGAAATTGAATGAACTAATACAATCTTTATGAATCAAACTGACATATCAAAATTTATGCAAATGAGGTGCCCTTATTTGCATAATTTATGCGTGTAATTTTTTGTTACACCTAGAATAAACATGACTTACTTGTATCAATTGTGTGAATTTTTTGATGGATGAAGCCTGAATAAGTCCTAATACTTATTTTTGGGGGGAAAAGGGCCCATGAAGGCCCTTCAGACACCTCTGGTACATGGTTCTACTCCTTTCCCACCCCCACCCCCTATTTTTCAGTTGTTACAGACACACTGTAACAGGCCCCCATTTATGACCTAAGGACCTTCTCTTAAGCTGAATGTTACTGACAAATGTGTCTGCATATCAATTGGTCTCTCTCATTAACACTTGAGTGATATTTAGTGTAAAAAATAGCATAAAATACTCAAATGGGGTGCTTATGACTTATTTATAGGACTTATGTTGTCTAAAAATTCAGAGGGGTCATCTCTGTCCATTTGAGGACCCCTAATACTAGTAATACTAAACCAAGAGTTCACAACATTAGCATTACCCTCAATTTGAAAGTCTTCATTAATTCCCTGGTTGTTTTCAGCAGTTTCAGTGTCAAATTCACTGCTAGAATATCAAAATTACTAAGCACAGTTTGATCAGAGTCACTGTCAGACATGTTCGAAATTCACGATGTAACTACACACACACACACAAATTCCTGCAAACAAATAAATTGAGTTCACCTTCAACGAACGCCGCCATTACAATGCCGGGATGTGCAGGAATACGTATGAATAATTTTGATTCGCTGGTACAACGCCAAGCCAGCCAATCGTGAGGCTCGATCTATCAGGCCGACGGCTCGGACTTGACGTCTTTCTCGCTAGTGTACCTCGGGCCGATAGATCGGCCCTTACGTCTCCAGAGGGTTAAGATCACTGTGTCTTCAGAACAGCTGTTAGGTTTTTATGTAAAGTTTGTGTATTTTAATGCTAACTACAGCCACCATTGTACATTTTTTTTGTCAGTTTTTATTTTAGCTAGGCGATGATATGTGATTAAAGATAACTTTTTTTTTTTACCTGAGTTGCAGTAGGACTAATGACGAAGTCTTTCTGACATGATGAAAGACACAAAATTGACATAAACCGTTATCGGGGAATGGCCAAGCTCGCTGTAAATTTCTTTTCTTTTTTTCTTTACTTTTTTTTTTTCGATTGAGCATTTTGTTTGCGAAGTGGCACGAGGCAATCGGCTATGTTCATTGTGATTTTTTTTTTCTTCTGTGCTCACGGTCTCAAATGTGGGCAGTTTCACGTGCAGAATGGACAATTCCCTCGTGGAATAGGGGTTGTTTGAGAACACCGTGATCTGTTCATAGCTTCTAGAAAGCGCCCTCAACAGTCGTGACATCTTGTAGTTAGTTGTCTGCATCGTCACATCGACTTTTGGCTAGGGACTTCGTGCCACTTTGTGAAATAGCCGGTCAACCTAGTATAATATATACTGGTCATTGCAAGCACATCTGACCATGGTCACACCTCTCGATTTAATTGCGAAATGGTGGCCAATTCAGGAACTTGAATGACTTCGAATATTTGGCTGTAATATACATGTTTTTAGCGGTGAAATCGATGCGTACACCTCCTACAAAACCCACCAAAGTTTGCATTTTAAACGTGTTGATAATCCTAGAAATTAAATTGTTTAAGAATGAGTTCGAACCTTTAAATAAAGTTGTTCACACAAGTCGGTAAAAAAACTTATTAAACTCTCAAGAGTCTTATGAGTTGTTGTTTTTTTTTTAAAAATAAATATTAACATATCTTTTATATCTAATTCGATCTCTTAGATGTACTGTGTTTTTAATTCGACCTCTTACATGTACTGTGTTTGTAATTCGATCTCTTAGATGTACAGTGTTTGTAATTCGACCTCTTAGATGTACTGTGTTTGTAATTCGATCTCTTAGATGTACTGTGTTTGTAATTCGACCTCTTAGATGTACTGTGTTTGTAATTCGACCTCCTATATGTAATGTGTTTGCATATTATCAGAAGCATTAGTTGTTGTTTCGTGTACATATTTCTATTGCGAGTTTTCGCCATATCAGTCTCGCCGATGTGCCATATCATTTTCAACCTGTAACGAAATTGATTCATTCAGTGTCATTAAACAGATTCAAACACCAGCTGTTCTTTCTTGCGTTTTTTTTTTTATTCAGGATGTCCTGTTTAATTTTCTTTGTTTAGTTCATATTTTGATTGCCTTAAGTCGTCACATGGAGCTGTTTCTTATTTGATGGCATTTTTTTTAAATGTTTATTTTTTGTACGAGGTAAATCTTTGTGATCTGAGATGTTCTGGTTCCGGTCCATTACGTCATTCAGATCATTTTTCATTCATTTTAAAGTAAAACGTTGATCAATTGTTCCACACCTCGGGATGATTGTACTTAGTTTCTAGACTTAAGTAATCTACTTGCCTTTTAATCGAAGAAGTAAAAAAAACCACACAAAAAAACAGTCAAATAAAGTCCAGGAGGGATGTGAGCTGTTAGACTTATGGACAAAGAAGTGTGAATGGCTTAATGACTCTTTACGAAATATAATTACCTTTAATTTGTCACTATTGTCAACTCCTACAGTCTTCTTGGATTGATTACATTAGTCAGTTCTTTTCACACGTTGAAGCGTCGTACTATTCTCACTATCATCGAACAAACTCAACTCCTTTTCATAATAACTATAACTTTAATGTCTAAGTAAATCTAATACACATACACTTGAATATATCGCAGCTCGCTATCAGACCTAAATAATACACATCCTATCACTCCAAAGTTCCACTCAAGACTGCCGCACGACTAAAACATACGTCACAATACTGTATAGACAATACGTCACGAATCAGCATAAAAATACTTCATAGAGACAATGACGGGAAGAGCGTTCACTAACTATAATAGTCAAGCGCGGGAAAAGCGTTCAACAACTAATGAACATAATATTGAGTCAAAACAATTACTAATGAACGCTCATACTCGACATACCCCCCCTCTTTCATTTCAGATTTAACTAAGGGAGTTAAATCGTCACCAGACATACAAAATTTACATGAAT